ATAGCTGTTATGTTCTCAACTGGACTTATAGCATTCTCTTACAGAGCCACATTAGAAGGCAAGCAGAGTGCAGATAGGACTGTCTACAAAAGGCTGTTGCATATACACTTTTAAAATTTAGTTTTATAAACTAGCAAGCCCAAAAGCAGACTCCACACAGATATTTAAAAGTTGCTCTATTTGGGGAAGAAATGCACAGTCGGAGCACAGACAGTGCTTCGTTGAAAGCCAATAAACCAGCAAGTAAATAATAGTATAATTATCTGAATGCCAAAATACATAATATTAAAATATTCTATTTCGATTAATGTTTATTTGCTATGCAGTATTTACAGTAGTTGTTATTGCCAAGTATCTACAACAGGCAGGAATTAATATTGAGAGTCAAGTTCTTAAGAAGACGTGTTTCCATTTGTTTGTTCTTATTTTGCCAAAATTTAACTTGAATTATATTTAGTCTTTCAGATACCTTTCTGAATTGAGTCTGGCAACTCATATGCTTCTAGCATTTCACTCTCTAATTCTCCATGTAAGTCATCTTCTGTAGGAGTTCCAAAAGCTTCTTCGTGTACTTCTTCCTTCACTTGCCACTGGTCATTTATGCTTTCATCTACATCTTCATGTCTCTCTCCTAATTAATAATACAGAATGTTAAAAAATACCTGCTCTTTGGTAAAATTTATTACCAGTGAATATCGAGCTTTCAGCACACCTTTAATATTTTCCAGCTACTCATCAAAGGGAATGGAGGCAGACAAATCATCTGCCCATTATAGCAATATAATCCCAAAATATCTGCACTGACTCACTAGTGTCAGAATCATTCATGGGGCAAAAAACATCTCCATTTACCTATTCTTGCACTATATATGGTATTTTGAGGAAGATCTTGTCAACTGAGTGATTTCAGCTACTGCTGCCCAACTTCTCCTGAATAATAGGCCACAGTAGTAGAATTTGCTGAATTTTCTGTGCAGGCAAAAGTACTTGGAGTGCGTACCCTGAACAGAATTTAAGATTTGTCTAGCCTATGACAGTATTTATAAATTCTTTAGTGATTTCTAATTGTTAATGCATACCAGACTGGGAATGGAGAGCTTCATGAAGAACAGACTGAATTTCCTCTTCCAATTCTACTTCAGCATTCTTGCGCTCTGAAAGGATTACAAGTTGTAGCAGAGGTAAGTGCAAAAGACAAAGTCTCTGCAAGCTCATGGCTTGCAGCTTTTAGTAGTCTCATTCATAGTTCTGTACAGACTTATTTCATGAATCTCTGCAACCCATGCAACTACAAAAACCAACTACTTTGGTTTTGTTTACTCTCCAATTCTGAAGTATTGCATCAATTTCTAATAAAACACCTAAAGATGAATTTAAAAAAATTACTTACAGTGGGTGTGGCATTCTGCATGTATCTTTTTCTCAGTTGCAGTGACATCATTAACTTCAGATAACTACTCCTACCAAGAATTCTCTCCTGAGTAATTCTTTAACTAACACTTTCATCCATCACATTCCTACAATTTAGGCTGCAGCACTAGCATACCATGGTTTGACAACAAAACCTCAATTTCATAAGTGGGGAGTTGGTTGTTTTAGAACTAGGGAGAACAAATACTAGTATTCCAATGGCAAGGTCTTCTCCAGGCAGTTCATAACAGAAAAATTCCACACTGATTTCAGAGCCAAGCGAACATCACCTAACACACCAGCCCAGAACATAACAGGAATAGGTAATGAAGTGTTGCCTTCATATAAACGTCCTGAAATTAACATCAAGAAATTCAATGCTGTATAAAAACAACCACAATTGTAGTTTCAAATGAAGGTCTGTAATGGCACCAGTTATGTAAACACATAAAAATGACACCCTAAAGTGAATATATTTTATAAAAAATAATGAAAGTAATTCAAGCCTTTAAAAACAGATTTTATATTCCAGTTTATTAACCATGTGCTCCACTTTTGTGGTTTACTGCGCTTAGGTTCATATAAACATCTAGTAGGATGCACTTCACCCAAGAACTGGAAAAAATATAGTCTCTGAATAACATCAAAATGTAAATCATATATCTGAAAGCTGACATGTAAAATTATCTTTACTGGAATTCCTCCTGAACCTAATAAATTTTACTAATGCATTTTTTTAATGTTTAAGTGAATTTTTCAACACTAGACACCTAATTTACTATATTTATTACACACTACTTGTTTTAGTAAGATTATTGTGAATAATCTTACCAAGTGATTCTACTTTCTATTTTTAATTTAAAATTACAGAAATGCAAAAGTATTTGAAGTAAACAGTAAGAAAACACTTTTCCATTGTTGCTGAAGCACTTACGAAAATGAGAACAGTGCTATTACTAAAATTATAAAATTAGTCATATCAAATTTTTTGTTGTTAGTATTTATATGGGGATGAGAATGACCGTTGCACAACAATATTTTTCATCTGCTTAGACTGAGCCAACTGATTTGATTTTACAAACAGGCACAAAAATTAAAATAAAAAAACGTAAATCATAGTATTTTTCTCCCTTTCTCCAAGCAAGCGAATGATTTTATGAATTTTTCTTTTTCTTTTTAATGTGGAAAAGCTGCCGTCATTCTGATTGCATATACTGTTGCATATGTATTTTAACCACAACTGTACACCAGCAGAAAGTTATCCGATGTGATAATGCTCCACTGGTGTTCATGACAGCTCAAATGAGCGCCTTCTAAACATAAAACCTATAAACTTTTAGTGGTTGGTGATTTACATAAAGTTACTAGCAGTGATTCCAGTTAAATAAACTATAGTAGATAAACACCACATAAAAGTGATAGCATGAAAGACTTATATTTCTACCCAAAGAAAAAACACCATACTGAGGAAACATAATTGTAGTTCAAATGAAACAGCGTGTCTTTTGTTTCATCTGCGGTTTATGGGACACCTTACCTGATTCGACAAACGGCTGCTCAGCAGGCTGAATAGTCTCCTCGGATTCTGGTGAAGTTGACTGTGCTGGGACAGATCTTTCTTTAAGGCCTGCATTTTTCAGTTATAAAGTTAACTTTAGGCTTTTTTGTTTTGACTCAATTATGTATCAAGAAAGAGACAATCTTCTTTCAATTATTTCAATAACAAAGTAAAAATTAATTGACATTAAACACCTCAGAAGGTATCCAAACAATAAATCATTACTACAGGGCCATACCCATATAACGTACACAAACACTAAAGTATATTCAGATAGTATACAAATATATGTTTTGAAGACATTAAAAAGTACAATGAGAAAAAATAGATGGAAATTTAAGCACCTGTGTCTAGTTGAAAGTAACTAAACAAATTACTAGGCTATTCTCACAGTCTCTTCAGTATTTAAAAAAAATATGCAGCAGGTTTTTTTTTTAACCTTTCTTTTCTTTGGAGAAATTCATATGATCATTTTTATATTTTATATATGTTTTTATGAATACCTGACTTGAACTTTACAATATACTGCTCTTTATGAGAAATTAACAGATCTTCCAAGATTTAACGTATGAATTTGTAAAGAAAACGTTAGATCTAACTTTGTCTTCAATATCAATTAATCTCAGTCTCTCATTTCTTTTAACTCCTGAATTAGTACGGAAAGAAGTATGAATGATGGAATTCTGCCACCAAGATGCTTACTATTACACCACTGAGGCTTTCTGGATCAAAATATGATAAAAAGCAAGCAAGTAATAACAACAATGATCAACATCAAGGTAAAGGATAACAGTAATTCATATCTTACTTAGATAAATACTTATCCAAGATCAAGCAGGTCATTAATTCTCATTAACTGCCTAGTTTCAGAAAGCACAGTGCAAAGCTTCAGAGATTATGACAAAGCCTCAAGAAGAATTTACTGATGTTAGCCTAATCCTCCTTTCAGTAATCCTTTGGGAAGGATTCAAGCAAGATTTAAACAAGAGTGGTTCCGATTGGGTATAAGTAAAAACTTTCTCCCTATGAGCACAGTCAATCAGTGGTACAGGCTGCCCAGAGAGGTTGTGCAGTCTCCATCCTTGGAGGTTTTCAATATCAGACTAGATAAAGCTCAGAGTACCCTGGTCTAATCTCTCAGTTGACTCTGCTTTGAGCAGGATGTTGGACTAGAGACCTCCTGAAGTCACTTCCAAACTGAATTCTCCTGTGATCCCATGTATGATAGCTTTTGTAGATTCAATTTTTAATATGAGTTGTGAGGTCAATTAAGCTAAAGATGATTTCTTAAATAAGTAAATAAACAGCATCCCTCCTCAAAAAAAACAAACAAAATCAAAACAAAACAAAAAACCCCACAGAACTGGCTTCTCAGAGTAGTATGCACAGAAATCAATTGAATCAATTTATAATAATAATTAAAGAAGAGGTTACACTATACTGAGTCATCTGCTGCTGCCAGACTCTTGTAAAAGTATCTGTAAGTGAAACCACGCAAGCGTTGTATTTCAAGGCACTAAAGCTTTTAAGAGTTATTATTAAGTCTCTGCTGGAGTCAGATACTTCTCAGTACAAAAAGGACTAGTATATCTCAAAAAAACTTTGTGTAAACGACGGAGATGTTACTATTTTATGAACGATGAAAAGCACATATATTTATTGCATTGTCCTATACATGTAATGTGAATAGGGAAAAAGTGAATCAATCCTAATTTTGCTTTTTGTATGCCCTATACTACATTAAGTATTTTTAAAAAGCATTGTAACTAAGAGCCTACTACTATAGAGCCAAGATCAGAAGCTAGAGAAAAAAAGCCAAATTTACACCTTTCTTCTTTGCCAGTTTCTGCTGTCTCATAAAAACATATTTAGAATTTCAAAAATATTATTGGGTAAAACTTGCATTCACCTTTTGCAGCAGCAATATTAATGACTAAAAGAGTGAGAAGTCACTTCATTTTATAATGAACTTTAAGTATAGAATACATGGGGAAAAAGTTAATTACTTATTAGCCACGGTCTCAGACTTCAAAATCTGGAAGAGTAGAAACAGCCACCCCACTTCCATGTATAATATACACATCTTTAAATAAGTACTCAGTCCATAACGTCTGATAACCCACATCTCCATTTTAAGACAATCACTTCCTCCACTCCATTAACAATAAATAGATTCAAAGCATTTCAAAAGATATTCAGTCCTTCACAACAAGCAAGTAGTTACAGTGCATAAAAGAAAGGCCTAGCAAGAAATGTTTCTTTGTTTACCTTGCACATTTCTCACTTTCGCTTTGATGCTTTATATACTAGCTATCAAATGTGGGCTTCTGTCTGTCTCCTGTTCAAACCTGTTGAGTATGTAGTATGATATGTCATATATTTTTTGCAGGATACTGTTTCATTTCTTATGAAAACAAAGTTACACTCACTATTTACTTTTGGTGCAGTTTTTGAATTTAGGTGGTAACTTGCCATGTTAAACTGAATGACAATAAGATTTCATAGAGATACGTAACAGCACAACAAAGCCCCAGGGGAAAAATCTGTTTTTATTATGTGCCTATTTGTATAGCCTACAGTGCTGCTCAAAAGAAATGTTCTTTGAAAAAGGAACTATTTTAGAACCAAGTAGACTTTGGGTCATATACATGAATATACAGCAATTAGAAATGCAATTCATTCCAAATTTCACTCCCCAGACAGTGGCAACTTGTGCCGCATTAGGGGAGAAAACAAAGAGTGATGTACGCTATACCTCTCTGCCATCACCCTTGAAAATTGTGATTTTGCTATTCCTCTATCAAATATGCATCTTAACAGCAAACAGAGCAAAGATGAATAAATATGCCCTTATCATTGCTGTAACTTAAAAAATAGAGCTCATTAGGTAAGTGCATTTATCAAATATGAGTCCCAAAGAAAATAATTTTTAAAAACTTTTTAACAAAAGGCATCTTCATTCTCTCAAGTATTTTGCGAAACAATATAATGTTCATAAAATACATCTTTTCCCCTTCTTCCTACATATATAAATATTTGGAAAGTAGCTCAATACATCCTCTCTTTCAACTACCAGAGTGAGAATCTTAAGGTATTGTACTATTTGCCACTGCTTTTATTTAAACTAGTTTTAAAAAGCTTCCTCTCAAAGAAACAGATTGTATCTTACCCTGCTACCACAGCTTTTAACCCTAGAGATCTAAGCATCTCAGATAGATATGTATGTGCTGTATCATCCTATATGCATTGTCAACGCTTTTATACAGAAAATTTAGGAAGAACCAAGAACAGAACATAGGAATCAACCTTCAGGACTTTATCATACCACCATCCGCATGCTACACTCAAGCTCTACTTCACTGTTTTGTTTTGTTTTGTTTAAAATAATACTGCAATATTATAGTAAAAAAATCTTCAACTGTCATCACAAATTTTGTTCTGAATCTTTTGTAATTTTATTCAGCAATTTACTTTTCAACAAAATAAGCAACATTATTTGTCTAGTAAAATTAGAAAATATTCTTTTCCTCAATAAACAAGAAAGTAAGCACAGATTCAATAACATACTGAAGGATAAATCCTTCTGAAGAAATGTTTTGTAACTTCCTTTTTATTCTAATTAGACTGCTAGATAAATCATTCCTCACTGCTAAGAACACAGATGATAGAACAGCAGATTAATATAGGAGCTTCCTTACAGAAGTGTCATGTACTTGAAAAGTGTTGTTTGAAGAAAATAATCCTAATAGCTGTAAAACAGAAGCTGTTCTCTAATCAAGTTCAATCAGAATGCAACACAAAAAGAACAGCACTCTTTTTAAAATAGGAATGAAACCCAACAATATCCATCAATGGTCCAGTGGTCTAATTTTTAAAAGTGATCATCAGAAGCTTCCAGTAAAAGACTGCTATTAGTGAAAAAGCAATCCTGAAAATCTGACCCCGATCTTGAATGGTTGAATTCTTTGGAAAATCTGGCCGCAGTAAACTGAAGAGTTAATGAAATAAGTTTTGAGACCAAAAGGTAATAAAGAAAAAAAAGACAGAATATACTGTCAAAGGATCAATAACTGCAGTGTAGTAGCACTTTGGCTGAGTATACTCTGAAGTCACACAACTAAATGCAACCCTACACAAACACTCAAACCAACTTTAAAATAGTTTTATCAGTCTACTTAGGAAAACAAGTTTAGTATAGAATAATTTACACTTACTATCATCCTATGACTGTATGTTCCAATAATACTCTTTGTTTTGGGAGGAAAAACAAAATAACTTACGGATTTTCACTGCATGTGTCCCCATAGTCCTTTGCTTTTAAACTTATACTTGATACACAATATTACACTTTCATCCCCACATCAAGAAAATAGCATTTTCACACAAAGCAAACAAAGAAAGGAGATTTTTCAGATTTAGATTAAGAGCGTTCTTAAAGTACCTGGCACTAATCCGATATTTCTGTTTTCAATACACATACAGTTAGGTGAGGTACATTAACAGATGCACATATTTGACTTTCACAGTAGATATTCTCGCTTTTTGTTTACAATGCTAGCACATGCTTAGCAGTTTTCAAAAAGTGATTATATATAAACTTTGTTCACACTTATCATTTCTACAAAACATGATTTTCTTATCGCCTTATTTACCATATTCCTATGAATATGCTGTATTTCTTATCCTTCAGGTCAGTTCCTACTTAGCACAATCGGAACTCTGTTTATTTCTTTTCTTTCTTGTCTTCCTTTGCTGAGCTTTCAGAAATTTTGGATGGGTTTTTAGCTATCTTTTTTGTTTCTTTATCTTTTCCCACCTGAATAGTACCATCCTTTTCACTGGCTGATCTTTTTGTAGTCTCCTTGGATTTTACACTTTTGTCTAGGCCCTTTTCCTTTTCCTTTCCTTTGTCTCTTTTAACCTTGTCAGAATCTTTCTTTAATTTATCCATCTCAACAGTTTTCTTGTCCTTTCGATCAGCAGCATCTTTTCCTTTTCTGGCTTTCTTTTTTTCTTCCTCATCTTTGATTTCATCCTTCTTGGATTCCTGCTTCTCCTTTACTTTCTTGGCTGGTTCTTTGATTGCTTCTTTTACTTTTTAGTTTTTCATTTAAAAAAGGAGGAAATGTTCAATAAGAGAACCATTTTTAGATCAGAGAATATATTTTACGAGCAACTATCGACAAGCTTTGATTATCATCTCTCTTAACATGTTAAATATGAATTTAAACGTCTTTATTTAACTACTTAAGCTTTAAGCAATTTAAACAAATCAGCTTTGCCTTTTAGCAATTCCTCACACCATGCAGCCAGCCAATAACCTTAGCTTACTGTAACTACATCTGAATAAAGCATTAAACTACTAAAATCCATGCCTCTACTATCTTACTGTTAACTTACTTCTACAGAATGCTAACAATAGCTTTGTCCATGAGCATGTAAATCACAATATATTTTGAATCTTTGATAATGGTGGGACCACTGTAGGGTCTAGAAATGTCAAGAACATATCTAAAAGAAAGTTTCACAATTTGTTCAACCTACTAGAACAACAAATGAAAATATTATAATAACACAAACCTACACTTCAATATGTTACAGATACCGTAATCTCAGATTAGGACAAAATGTAAAATGCATTTTAAATATATACATATTTAAAAAAATTAAAAAATGCAAATACAAAATACTTAAGAAGAAATAACAATGTCCTGGTGAATTAAATCAACTGCAAACAAGAACTTTAATTTGGTTTAATCATATTCAATTAAATCAAAGTAACAATGATAAATCTATTCTTACATCTTTCCTTTTCAATCTACGGTGTTATTAATATTTTTTTTACTTAGGTATAAGTACAAGAGATGCATCTCTTGTACTCATTTTCTCTATTTAAATTATATTATTCATTTGGCTGTGATGCAGTATCTAGACAATATACCAACAGAACAATTCAGAACAGCATTCTTGAAATTTAGATTTTCAGTTATTCAATTTCAGTTTGCTCAGTTTTGAAAAATGCTGTCATACTACCAGCAATATCCCCCAGAATAAGTAATTGCTTACTTTTAATAAAGTTTAGAAAACTTTCCATTAACTCTCTGCATGCCATCTTTGTATTTACTTTTTAAAAATGTATTATATCTACATTATTGAAAAAAAAATCAGTAAAGATTTGAAATATAAAATATAATCAGTTTTTGTATTCAGATAAATGCTCTTTTGAAATGAACTGGAGTCAGTTCAGGTAAAGTGTAGTAAAGCGACAACATTTCTCAACAACTGCCACTAACAGCTATGCAATGTTTCTGTGAAGTTAACAATTCAATCACACAGTTCAAAAAGTTTAAAAATACATTTTTTCGACTATTTTTTCCACATAAAGCATCTAGAAACATATCACAACATTTCTTCATTCATATATCAAACATCTTCAAAAAAATAAACCAAAGCACAAGAATAAATTGTTAAATTACATATTTATTAAAATCTTGGAAACACACAATTTTCACCAAGTCATATCAAGCATAATGCAGAACAAAAGCTAAAAATTTCAAATTGCATGCAAAGATGCTAAGAAAAATTCAGAGGAACATGAGAGCTTTCCCCAGCAGATACGTTTTTTTCTCTAATGAGACTTTGTGTTTTTCACATACTGCTAGAAAAAAAAAAAAAAAACACAGACTATTTTAAATGTGCTTTATGCAACAAGTAGACTGTATTCTTTACATGGTAACATGCTATGTGGAAATAACTGAGCACATCTAAAAAGTCAAGAAGCACCAACTTCATCTGGGAGTATGGTGTTTTGCTTGGGCTAATTAGTTTCTTAGTCTGTTTGTTGCACTAAATACATTTAGACAGATACGTGTGTTGCTCTTATAGCCATTTAATTACAAATTGGATTAATTTCTTATACTTATTTTTATTATTGTATTTATTATGCATTTGTTCATTAATTTTTTATTATAAATTTATAAATAGTTTATATACATGTATAAATATATATAACACATATATTATGTTATATATTTCTTATTATAATTTTATATTTAAATGTAATTATAACCACTACCCCAGCTGATTTCTTTGGTAAGCATTGTGCCAGTTCTCTCTCACATCCATCAATTTATACTTTTATACAATTTTATATATATTTAATAAACATATTAACTCAAATAAGAGATCTTCAAGTGTATGCAATAAATTGCTCCAAAGCTATCTTGCTTTGAGCTTGGAAAAATTAAGATAATAACTGCAATCAATCCTGTAAATAATATTAAGGGGGAAGAGTTGCTCAACTTTACTTATATTTCTCCTCCCATAAGAAAAAAATGGATAAAACCATTTAAGTACAGATTTAAGCAGAAATTAAGGTACTCAAGTCCGATTACAAGACAAAAATAGTATAATGAATCCATGAAAGATAACTAAAAGAGGATTTGACACTGAGCAAATCCTGCGTATACATCAGATTTTTTCTTTTTCTTTTTTCTTTTTTTCACACACAGAATAAGAAATAAACATTAAATACTTATAATCTAAAGAAGACAACTGTTGTAAAATTGTTTGCACAGATGAAAAATAAATTGCTAGTTAGGAAAGCACTCACGTTGCCATTAATTTATAACCAGTAACAAAAAAATACTGAAAAATGGAGTGGATAATAATCTGCTGCACTATCAGACAATAATTAGCCAACACAGCTAATATTAGTAAACATTATTATAACCTGCAAACTCTATTTGCAACACACATGCATTTCAGACATCATATCCGCTAAGGTTCACTGACAAAAAAAAAGATTAAAATACCTTTGACTTTAGCTTTTTTCTTGGCTACCCCTCCTGGCTCCTCACCTGATATGTTGTAAAACGGAAATAGGTTATGAACATACATACCTGTGATGTTCAACAAACATGACATAACATATTCAGATCTGTCACTTAAAAAGTTATCTTTATATAGCACAATGCATTGCTACGGAGAGATAACAAATGTTTGCTCATTAAGAACGAAGTGCCTTCATTAGCAAAAGCAATGCAGGTATTGAGATGCAAGGCTAATTAACCCAAGCAAAGCACTACACTTGCTTGCACACTACTTGAGGTGCTTGTGAAACTTTTTAGAGCTAGCTCAGTTCTCTCCACTATCTCAGATGATTTTTTGGAAGGTATGGCACCAGTTCTTTCTCAAATCCATCAACTTAGGTTTCTAAAAACTTTTATATATACTTAATAAATGTATTAACTCAGAGATCTTCAAGTGCCTGTATACTGTATACGGTATAAAATGATTTATTAAAATGAGTTACAATTTATATTTTAGAAAACTGATTAGAATAAAATTCACAATTAATACAGCCAGTGAAAATGTGTGTTTTGTCAAAGGTATTGCTCATTTCTCAAAAAGCAGCTGCAATTTTCTTTCAATCAAAATACTTACTGGTTTACTTAAGACTTTTTTTTAAATTAAACCTTACTCTCCAGACAAGGTCAGGCGCTGCAAGACACTGATTGCCCTCTTTCCGCTTGTAGCTAACAGACATTCAGGTCATTCAGCATCTTGTGGAACAGGAGGCATGGAATAGGCAAAAGCTTTCCCCAAAATATAAATAATAATTAGCCTCATCCTTCTAACACCATAAAAGAAACTGGATTATCATTATCATGCTGCCACAATTTTAAGACCTAAATCCTTTAGCCACAATTGCCTTAGCCACAAAAATCCTGTGGCCTGCTACACGAAAACTGACCAAAAGAGTTAAGACAAGCTATGCTAAATATACTAATTCATACATCATGCTGGTAAACAAACGGAGTTACTTCCATGTTCCAACATTAGGCTTCTGAACCAGACACACCAGCTTCTACATCAGACATCCGTACCTCGAGTTTAAAATCCCACAGAACAATACACAACTACCTGCAGTGTGTCAATACACAACCTGTAAAAACTTAATTAACAAATCATATATATAATTGTACCTGTTAAAAATGTCACTGTAATCAAGCTACATTTAATTTCTATCTCACATCTTTTCAAACAGTGAGCACTGACATTATTGTCCAAATTTCTCTAAAATGGGTTGGCAGGTTAAAAAAAAAGAAGAAAATTAATTTAATTTCCCTACAAACGCCATCTGGGATAGGAAAGCCTTGTTGTGCTCCTGCTGCACAGATTATCATAACTGATGAAATACAGACTTTCTAACTTGACCAAAAAATTAGTTTTCAACCTTATTACTTCTAAGTAATGTGTGTGCAACTGTGACTAAATAAATCATCTTTTCATAAAAAGGAAAAACAGAATCCAACTTCCTGCCATACTACATCACCAATTCAGGAACAAATAGTAAAATCCAGGGAGCTAATCTGCACAAATCCACATTTAAATTTGTTCCCAGCTCCCCCACCCCCTTTTTCATAGCAAAATAAAATGTTACTGGATATTTTAAAATAAGCTCTAAAAACAAAAATTTCACAGAATTCTGCACACAAAAATTATCATACAGATATCTGAAGTAATGTTTAAATAAAAGTATACCAACTATATTGAGAGGCAGATTACAGAATACCTTGATAAGAGATTATTGATGTTTCACTTGTTAACAGATACCTTGATCATGGATTACTGATGTTTCACTTGTTAATAAATATTCAGACAAGCTGTAATTCATTTCAATCTGCTTTTTATACAATGAATAGCATTAAGGCTTTCAGGAACCTATCAATGCTTATCTGTATTTTAACATAAAATGAACGGACCCATTTACTGGCAAAGTGTGCAGAATAATATATTTCAAAATCTTAAAATTATGTAAAAATCACAAGATTATTTACCATAATATCCAGTTGGACTTGATCCTTATGGTGACTACAATACAGGAAAACCTCATTTGTGAATCTCAAACAGCCTGAAGCAAGAGGTAGGTGCAAAAACACCTAGCTTTTCCAAAATAACAATGTTCTGGAGTATGCAATCTATGAGAATTTAGCATGTTGGTAAATTCACTGGCAAAAATCTAGACTCTTAGAGCCCTTAGGGCATATAAGCCAATGGGCAGAATTTTATGAATCACACAACTGAACTCACAGATCCTCATTCTAAGTTACAATTCAAGTGCCTTAAGACCTTTTAGATCTAGTTTTAAGTTCCTACTTTTTTCTACTTGATTATAAGTTAAAAAAAAAAATCCTGTGTTGGCAATTCTAAAATAACTTTATAAGCGCATATATAAAACGTCAGAGATGAATGCTATCTAGCCAGTCTATTAAAAAAGAGACTTCAAGTTAACATATTTAGATATTTTTCTAACATCTTTCAAAGATCTACTTTAAAAAGTTATAAAAAAAACACAATATTCATATCAAAGTGGCTATCTCTATATAATGCTTAGTGGTAGAAAACTTAGAAAATCTATCTTGATTTAACTGATGCTTTGAAATGTAAAATATTACAAAGCACTCTAATTCTGCAACAAAATCTAGTTGTTGCCTTTGTTTTTCCCCCTCATAAAAATCTTCAAGAATGTCCACAAAAAGAACGCCCAAATGAGATCATAGCTTTAGAATTTCAGTATCAAAACAAGAATATATGAGTACTAGTTTTCAATCAGAAAAATAACCACTGCAAAACAAAAAGAATAGATAGCACAAAGCACTTACAATCTTTTTAAACATTATTTCAAAGATGTTGACAGTTTATATTCACATACTTTTACATTGAGAAACTTGAAGTTGTTTCTTGCTTATTCAAGTTTTATATTCTTCATTCAGCAAAATCGAATACTTTTTTTCTTTACTGTCTTTGCTATTCAGAGCTAGTAAATATGTAAAAGGCTTTGACACATGAACAAATTTCTTTATATCAGTTTCACCACAACATCTACCTGCCTAAACCCTTTTAACTTGCAACAACACACAGTAAATGCACGTTAATTTAAGGTGGCCTATCCATCTACAAGTGAAAAGGAAGAGGCTACTTCACATTTACCTTAGAAAAAGCATATAGTCAAAGTCAGCACAAAGTAGCTGCCAGATAGTAACATGCTACCCTTCAGCAATTTGTGCATCACAGCCTGGATAATAGAACAGAAAGTGTCAAGCTTTATACTTCAGGGCTTGTATTCAGACTGCTACCATAACTCACAGACAGGTCCCATCAAATGTGAGAACAGTGCAAAGATTTTCACGCTTTTCCACCAGTAATTTTTCCCCAAGCTATTAATCTTTACTCTGTGCACAAAATTTCCCTCATCACAAAGAAAACAATCAAAAAGCTTAAAAGTGAGGAATGAAGAAATCAAATATAAATCTGTAAGTAAAAGCTGGTGTCAACCTGCTTCTACCTTCTCCCTCACCTTTTTTTTTCCTTCTCCAGAAGAACTGCAAGGCAGAAAAAGCTGAGATTCTTTATGTATGCACCTGCACATAATTATTACTATTGCTTTGCATTTATAATATTCTACATTGTGTATACAAGGCCTGCTAAACAAAATAACTTGCTCACAGAAGGCTAACGGCCACTTACCTTATAGTGAATTCTTTCTACCTGTTACCTGTATGCAGATTGCCCGGCACACCTAGCCTGTAATCCTTCCAAATGCAAAAGAACTTTGTAATTCACACAGCTAGCATAACAACTACCAGAAACACTCTTGACCCATTCTCAGTAAATTGCTTCAAAACATCTTGCTCATTTAACTGCATAACTTTAGAAGAAAAATCTGAATCGGAGACACAGGATCAGCTAAGAGAGAGGATTTTTTTAAAGGACGGGCTGCTTGTTTCTAAAATCAAGGCAGATGAGATAAATTGAATTAAGATAAATTGAACTACTTGCTTCAAATTTTATGAAAGATAGAAATATTCGGTGAGAATTTATACTGACAGAAAAGAGATTCTCTGCTCAGTTAACTTCTCCTGAATAGGAAGGAAGAGTTTTTCAGTTGGTTTGAGGTTTTCATTTCAGTTTTTCTGAAAGACGGTAGAAAGCATTTTCATTTCTGAGGTTAAGTCACAGACCTATGTTGCATCTTGTACAAGAAGACATAAGAATTCAATAAGTAAGCCTTTGCCCTTGGTTAGCATCATCTTAAAGATGCCATCCTAACTGATCATTAGAAAGAAAGTAATTAATGGACTGCATGCTGCTGTGATATCATTATGATAGCTGCTTAACTGATGGTAAGTGAATGGGGAAAATAGTACATATATGTCCAAAATGACTGAACCATATGCACCAACTTTCTGCAGCCTTTGAATACTAATTAAATCATGTTTACGATACAGTTTTGTTTTTCCTCTCTGACCATTAACTTTTATGAACTGATATGAAAATTCTCCTAATGCTTCAATGCATTCTTCCTCTACTCCTCCATCCAATAGCAACCTACATGTAGAACTGTCATAAAAACTTTATTTCTTCTAAGGTCAGTCACTGGAAACTAGCTAACCATATAAAATTAATATAAAATGAAACCTGCAGATGACAAGAGCATTTGGAGAAAAAAGTACTTGCAAAAAGTACTTGCAATAATAATTTCCAGAGATATGCAAACATTTTCCTGTTTATTCACTCAATTCTAAGTTGCTTTATGTGTTATAAGCATTGCATTTTCTCATGTAAAAACTTTCCTACTATCAAATTAAGTATTGTTGAAGGTGGTCACAGAAATCTGGGGTTCAAACCTTCCATAAGTTCTCAGCCATTTCAGATCTATGTATATAAGTTTTTGTTCTAAAAATTCCTTACATTAGTATCACAACAAAGCAAGTAAAAGCTTATGCTACAAAGGTTAGTGCAGTATTTGGTTCGAAGGCCGTTGACTTCTGGTCAGGACTGGCAGTTAAAATAT